CTGCACTGAGTCTAAGGGAGTTCTCCACTGCATATTCTTAGATTCTGTATGGCTCATATACTTTCTTACTATAGTAGAAGACATTTTTGTCTCTGACCAAATGCTCCATACTCAATTATAAAATTAAAATGAGGTTGAGCCTCAAGAGCCAAATATCACATGAACTATTGGATAATACCTGGCACAAAGTACTTTTCAGATTTTAAACACTCCATTAAGCATTTAATTGGCATTATATCATCCTGGCATATATCAGCTGCCACAATCATATAATGCATTAGGCATCATCTCCTTCATTTTACAGTGAAAGAGTTGAGTCTTGGAAATGTCACTTTGTCCCATGGCGTAGGGATGGTAATCGACAGAATTTGAAATCGAACAAGGTTTAGCGATCTAAGCTTTGTGTTCTTCTCCCTACACTAAATATTCCACTGAGTTCTCTTCTTGTAACAGCAGTGCTCCTTATTAAAGTATCAGAAGTCTTTTGTACCCAAGGTCACTCACTTTGTTTCTATGAAGCACAGAAAAGTGTTTGCCGTTGAGATAGATGAGCTGTTGGCACCTTGTTCAATTCACTTATATTATGGATGTAACCATGCTCAGCCTGAGTTAGAGTCTAGATGAGCAGAGGACACTGGAAAATGAAGCTTGTGATTACTGTTGTCTGTCTCTCCTGGCTCTGTCTTGTCCCCCAGCACATCTACCACGCTTTATAGTGACATCTATCATTTCCAGTAAGCATGCTCAGTAAAGGAACATCTAAGGTGTGACTGAAAAACATGCTGTGTATTTAAATTTTTAAAAATAATCAACTCTCCTTAAAACAAGTCTTGTGGCTTTGAAGACACTTGCCCTATCATTCTTTGCACTTTCTAAAGCAGTTCTCAAAGTCCACTTCCATTTCTTTATTTTTGTTGTCACGAATGCCTTATGTTATAGGGAGTCAAGTCAAACCATTTTGACTTTGAAGAACCAGAACTCAGCACGATATAAAATCTAATGATAAGGTGGGAGGACAGACTGCAATGGTTTTAGAAGCCTGTCTTTTTTTGTATGGTACTTGGCAGTGGTTTTCACTGAATTTTTGATCATACTTTCTAGAGATACAAAGAGGACTTCCAGAACTGCTTCAGAAAGTGTCAAGATTCCTAGTTAAAAAAAAAAAGAGTCAAGAATGATGGGATAAATTGTTTGGATATAGGCAAAGTTATTTTCTGTTTGTTTGTTTTTTAGGGGAACCAGTGAAAATCTTTTACTAGCAAATGTTTTTAACTTAAACATTTATGTTTTGATCACTCCTCATATTCTTGGTAAATACATGCATGGTTTATGTTTCCCGTCTTGTATTCATGTGAAGTGGCTCAAATAAACTGAATTCTTCTCAGACAATTCTATCTGAATTTGATTAGCAACCATCTGCCCTGTGAATGAATTTCATCTCTGCTCATATGATTTGCTGTGGTTAGAAACCTGAGACACTGCCATGAGATGAAGTCCATCTCATGGCATATTATCACCAATGCTGTGTTACTGTCATCATTACTATGGATAAAAGTTTTGTACAAATGCTGCAAGAATATTCTTCCCTTGTCATTGGTGGAAACAAATCGTATTCAACATCTCTCAGCTGTGGTTCAGGTCTCCTTCAACTCCACCCTTCTACAAAGCACCTGTGTAAGGGTTGACTTACAGAATTTACAGGTAAATGTCTATTTTACCTGGAACACTTTACTATTCAGGGAAAAATAATCACAGAATCAGAGAGAGAGAGAGAGAGAGAGAGAGAAACAGAGACAGAGAGAGACTCATTGTAGGCACGCATTATAGAATATGATTAAGTCCCATCACATGACATCTGTAAACTGACAGCCCAGGAAGGCAGGTGGTATAATTCCAGTTTGAGTCTTAAGGCCTGAGAACCAAGGAACTCAGTGATATAGATTCTTCTTCTTCCAGAGCAGAAGAAGACAGATGTTTCATCACAAGTACAAAGGCAGTGAGCCAAAGGGATCAAATTCTCCTCCATCTTGCTTTTTGCAGCTGGATAGAAGATGCCTATGCACACTGAGGACGGAAATCTATTAAATCTACTGATTCAAAAGTGAATTTGGAAAGGACTCACAGACACACCCAGAAATCATATGCCATTCTAGTGCTTTCTGGCTCAGTCAGTTTGATGTGTGTGTTCACCAGCCCGTTTCCTCACAGAACTGCCTGGTAAATTATCAATAACATTACTTTCCTCACTATTTCATGAGACATTGCCAATGTCCTTCAATTAGGGAAGCATCTATTTTTAATCATTTTCTGTAGTAGAAGATGTTGCCTGTACAAAATATGAAAAAGCTCATCTCTCTTTGGTGAGTGACTAGCTTTCTTCATCTGCCATAAATTTCTGATTTATTTCTAAATCTCTATCACCCCCTCCACACAGCATGTTTTTGTTTTTTGGGGTTTTGTTTTGTTTTGTTTTGTTTTGTTTTGTTTTGTTAAGAGGCTTACTAAATCTTACTGAAAATCTACTATGTATGATATACTGAGCATTTCCAGTGAATTAGCTTATTAAACCTCACAGTAGCAGATCAGAAAGGCTGGGATGTGACATGCCTTGCAAAGACCATGTTTTATGGCCGTGACCTCCAGTGTAAATGTTGGGGAATGTCAGGCTCGCCTTTCACTCTCTGCCTCCTGACTCTGTGAGCTGGCAACTCTGCTCCATCTTGTACTTTGGGCACAAGTTTTCTGCTTTTATGGACACTGGAGGCAGAAAAATATGGACTTCAATTGCTGCAACTGTGAGCCAAGCCACACCTTTATCCTACAGTCATTTTGTCCTAACAACAGAGAGCTGACTGACAGAAAACCAGTACGAGGAATGCAGTTGTCCTTTGACTGTAGCTGACCATATTGTTCAGAAGAACTTGGAACTGGTTTGCGGAAGTTTGGAAAGGCTTGGAGATGTGGTTTAGAGAGTCTCTAGGTGGTTGTAGTCAGAGGTTAATGGGTAATGCTAGTGTGAGCTCAGAGGAGCAGAGTGCTCACTGATAGGAATGTGTCAGAGAGACTGTGCTTACAATGTTTCACACGGGAAAGGAGATCATCAGGAATGCGATCAGAAGTCACACATATTACATTCTGGAAAAAAAACTACCTACATTTTACCCACACCTTGAAAATTTGTGGGAGCCTGAATTCAAATGTGCAGATTAGTCAAATAGAGGAAGAGGTTTAAAGACCCCCAGAGTGCTCAGGTGGAGGCATAGATATTGCTGGATGCTTTCAACCAGATTTATAGTGAGAGTTGAGAGATAAAGGAGAGTTAGAAGACTGAAAACCACGTGTTGGTTAGAAAAGAAACCCAAGTGAAGTTCAGGTTGAGGAAAGCGTAGCTACTGAAAAGATTAGCATAATTATAAAGAAATAAATTACTTGCAGAAGACAGTAAGAGGGCTATCCTGAGGATATCTGAGGAATCACCAAAGCTCCACCCACTGTAGCCTCAAAGATATAAAAATGTAAGCCTTTACTTGGAAAAGAAAGTCCAGGGACCCTCTTTTTGAGCAGAGTCCTCCAGGGAATCAGTTCCCTGGGGTTTACTTCACTGTGCTCAGCCATCCAGGCACTGGGGCACTGAAGGAGCTTTGCTGCCATTTGATTAAGTGGTAAATGTGGAGATTACACACCTGGTGCTGACTTTGAGGGCCTGTGTAATGTGAGAGTTACGGGGTCAGGAGTGCTTCCACCAAGACTATACAGGGAGGTCTGAGAGACCAGATGATGTGTAACGTGATCTGAGTGCCTGTACACTGCCCTTGAGAGAGAGTGAAGTATGAAATGGTGAGAATGAAGCTGCAGATCCAGGGGAGCTGGGTAGGAAGTTGGGGTGCCAGGAGCATGGATCATCTGACAAGTAAACTTGTAAGCCACAAGCCAAGGTAGGTCAAGAGAGAAGTCTTACGGGCTGGACTCAGCAATGCCTTAGTGATGGTCTGTCCAAGCATGTTGGATCTCACATCTCACCACTGTGTGCTCCAAGTGCCAGACATAGAGCTAGCATGTGCCATGTTGAACCTGCTGGAATGTTTGCCTTGGTCTTCCTTCCATCTCCTTTCTGTGCCTCTAGTCCTTCCTTTTAGACGATGACGTTTGGAGATGAACTAAATGCATTTTGCGTTATAACATGGACACGAGACTTTGGTAAAATGTATTTTGGACATAACATGTTGCAAAAGGATCACTCATTATGTGTTTGCATCTCAGTGCAGCAGCGCTCAGAGGTAGTGGACTCTCCCACTGCAACCACATGAGCATCTGTCTTCCTCCTGACCCTCCTTCATGTTTCAACTGTGCACAGGGATGAAGCACTGGGAAAAGCTCATCATATTCCTAAACCATAAACCAAAATGAACCTTTCCTCTGAATTGCTTTTCTCAGGTATTTTGTCACGTCAATGAAAAACTGATGAATACTTCCAATTGTATCTCCTCAAGCTTAGCATTGAACACACGGGGATTGACAGCAATGTCTAAATAACTCACACATGCTCACCTAGTAGGAAATTAAATAATCTTCCATCAGGACAGCTGAGATCTCAACCCTGGGACATCTGTCTTTAGATTCCATGTTCCTTACCATTACCTATTTTATGCACCCCCCAAATCACAGACTCACGTAACAGCACTCCCAAAGCTTCAAAACTACCTAAACAAAATTAATGATGTATTCTGACTTCATGATTTTAAGGTTTTCACATTAAATATGTTTCTTAAATTACGTTTTGGAGGCTACCACTTTCTAACTCATACCACAAAAATTATGGCAACAGAATATATATTATTTTATTCTTCAAAAATATTATATATTTTGATTAAGTAAAGTAGCCACTTAAGCCACTGAGCTAAATCCCCAGCCCTGATTAAGTAAAAGAACTTTCCATACTCTGTAACATAAAATTAACTAAAGAATTAAATAAAATGATTACACTGACAAGTATGTTTTAATTCCAAGTGAAGTAAATTTATTTAATAAAAAGAACACTTTTCCAGCTCAATATTCACTTGAGAAAAATCAAAAGCAAACATAGCAGGAATGGAACACAGATACAAACGTCACTTTATACTGAGTTCTTAGATCTTTTGTTGTGTGATTTTAAGGTCCACAAAAGTGGATTTCAAATTTTATTTTTTATTTCTAAAGCAAAAGATCCCACCTGACAGTTTAAGAATGTTTGGATTCAGTTGATAAAAAATAACTGGTAAATGAATAGGCCCAGATATTAAGTGTTGCTAATGCCATTAACTATTATTAATTCATGATAGAATGGAAAATGTTGCAATTCACAGGACTAGATAAGCTTCTACAATCTTATTTATCTTTATGAATTTTAATATTAGTGTCACATTTGTCAATAAAATAGATACAACGTCCAACAGTTCCTTAGACAATAACTAGTAGTCAAAGTGTAGATTAACTTCTTAAGGAGTCAATAATTATTTGGTTGCAACTTATTGCTCTATACTAAACACAGTTTTGGTGATCTAAAATAGTTAACATGCTTTCCAGCTCCAAATTGGCACCAAAAATGCCAAAAGAGAAAAAAAAATCTCATCTTTGGAGATACTATTAGAAGACATGTTCATTCAGTTACAACACCCACACACACACACACAAACACACATACACAGACAATATTCTATAGTTAAAGAAATAAAATACCTAAATATACCCAAAATCAATTAAAATATGCCATGTCCCCTACAGATATTTTCACTTACTAGGCATTTGCAAGCCACCAGTAACACAGCAGGCTGGCTCGTAAGTGCTAGAAGGTTCCAGGAGTTGTGGCTCAGGGGAAACACTGACCAATGGGCTACAGGCACTGGACTCAGAGACCTGACACTGGCATTGGCGGGATTCATATTCCAGAGTCTGGCAACTCTGAGACACGGAAGTCTTTAGTGCACTACATTGTGCCATGTGGTTCTCAGGCTGAGAAAGCTGGGTTCCAAAACTCGCTTGCTGACTGCTTCCTGACTGGCAAGACTGAGACACATTCTCTGACACTGCCAAAGCACTTCTTGATTGGCATGACGTCCTTTCAGAAGGTTTGGAGTTGGAGCAAGTTGTTTGGAAAATCGTGGGGAGACGGAAACTCTGTACACATGTATCCTCGGTGAAGTGGTCCTGCTCACGGCGGGTCAGTGGGCGGCTGGTGGTTTCATTGTGGGTTTCTTGAAAATTGTCCAAGAGCCAGGTTCTGCTGTAGCAAGTGCTGGGCAAACAAATTCCATCTCCAAAGCTTGTAGCATCAGAGCCATGCACAATGGCAGAGAGCTGTGGTGGGTTATAGGAGCTCCTCAGTGATTGGCAGTAGCTCTGAGGCATACTGCTAAACCCCTAATTGATATTGGTCAAAAGGTCCGAGTTTGAAGATGAAACTCACTGCGGGGGAGATTATATACTACACGGAAACTTGGGTGTTGGCAGTTTTTTCAAGAGTGCTTTGCACCTCATTGCTTAAGCTAATTTGGAGGGTAACCTCTCATTAACACTTGGTTTGGTTATATATGAAGTTGTCTTATTAACAAAGATGCGAGTCCATTTGGAATCTTCAAAATGGCTTTCATGTGAGCTCCAAGGATGATTCAGTAGGGAGGGGTTTGTCAGAGTGTGTCCTGACCTGTCATCCAAGCTGACTTCTTTTTCTTTAGCCATCATGACCTTTTATTTTGGTAGGCAGACAAGAAATGCATGTGGACATAGCCAAACGCACACTGATTAGTGTTTGGCACTTGTTATCAAAGCTCTCAACTTGGCAGATGCAAGATGTTCAAGATGTTTGTAGCTGGAAGAGGCTCTGCCTAAGCCTACCTTCAGATCTTGGTCTCTCCTGTTGGTGGGGGCAGGAGAAAGTTTGCAATTGATGTTTTTCTTCCTGTTCAAAGAATAGCAACACCACTCCGTGTTTCTCTTATTTTGCCCACTGAACTCCTGCAGGCCTCCACATGAAGTCTTTACCCCGTTTCCCGTGGAAAGGTTATTGCTTCTCCTTCTGAATCCCCGATATGTTTTTAGTGAAAGTAAGTTTTACTTTTCTCTTCGTATGCATTGAATAGGATTTCACAATGAAGACATAATAATGTTCACGTAAGGGAAAAGAAATAGTTCTAAAGTTTATGTAAACATGAAGCAAATTCCTCACAGTGTGCTCTGTGCAGATAGAAGACAGAATGGTTTTTTCATTGTAATTTTTCAACTGACCAATTTGTACATATTTATGGAGTGCAGTGTGACAATTTGACACATGCATACAGTTTACAAGGGTCACACTAGAATAATTAATATTTTCATATCGTCAAATATTTATTATTTCTCTGTTAGAAAACTAAGGTCCCTACATCAATCATAATCTGTTTTAAACTACTTACCCTGCAGTGCTATAGAACAGATGAACTAATTATATATCTTGTTTTCATATCCTTCCCATCTCTGCTGACAAATAAGCTAGTTACTTTTAACCCTATTTTTTTTATTATGACTGTGCTCTACGATCCAGTTGTATGATGACTTTTTCTGTGCTTTTCAAACCACAAACTTCATTTGTGCAACAAATTCATTTCTGACATACTTTTCACTTTTGTGTTTTGTTGTTTGGATGTGAAGGATCAGCTCCTACATTTTTATTTTTTTGCATTAACATGCTATTCTTAGCAGTTTCATACACAAAGCACATAATCTACCAGAGGGATTTCTGCCCCGTGGTCCATAATTTACTTAGTTTAACAGATGACAATGAAACAGCACAGAAGTACATTCTCAGCAGTGTCCTCTTCCTTTGGTTTGAAGTCTGAAGAAACGCAAGAACATCCAGGAACTCTTGTAAAATATAATCATTGATTCTGAAAAGCTAGGGATGTTCTAGCATATTAAAAAGGACTCATCTGAATACTTCCAACTTGAGTCTCTACGTTCCCGGCCTGTATACAATAACTTTGCAACACAAGAGTTATTTATAGTTTTGAAACACCATTCTTCTATGTCTGAACATCCTATTATACGGTTCTTATGCGTCTGGTAATCACCTAGTTATTTCTTGTGGGTAGAGATTTGTATTTACTTTTGTACAAAAGCCACCACTGTAGTTTTTGTCTCTCCTTAGAGGAACTTAATGGATTCTTGTTGCTTATTTGTATTCTTCTTAGACTGGCCTATAACTTATAAGATCTGGCCACTACTTCTTTTTCTAACTCTTCATTTAGTCTTTACTCTCAACTTAATATGCTCCAAAATCACAAGACTTGAGTTTGTGAAACCTTTCCTTGCCTCAGTGGTTTTCAGACACAGCTATTTCTGTCTTCATATCCCTTTCCTCCTCCTCCTCCTCCTCCTCCTCCTCCTCCTCCTCCTCCTCCTCCTCCTCCTCTTTCCCTCACCTCTCCCCCCCTGCCCCCTCTTTAAACAGGCTTTTGGTTCTCAGTTTAGAATTATGGCTCATATTCCTTCCAGTTCCCCTCTTTACTATCCTCAGAATCTAACATTTTCCTTCAGAGAACTCAGTGAATTTTTCACAGTATGTCTTTGCTACTATACTATAAATTCCAGGAAGTCAAGAAATTTAGATTTTTCTGACTGTCACATAATAACAATGATCATGGTGCCCACCTACCACATAATATGATCTTCATAAATGTACTTTGAAAAAATAATGAATATAAGGTGCTAAATGAAATTGTATTCAAAGCATATCTAAATGTCTGAAAAATAGAGTTTGTATGCCTTTATACACCCAAAATGTCCATGAATTAGCCAAGATAACAAGCTTCAGAAAGGTAACTATGCCTACATTTTAACTCTGTCTTTCTGAAATGAGAATGAAATGTTTAAGAAACCCTCATTAATGGCACAGCACAAGCTGAGTCACTTGTTTTAACTAATGTTTGATTTTTCAGTCGACCTGTTTTGAAAGCTTTTACAGTGAAAAGGTCACTCTTTCTTACTGCAAAAGCACGTTCTGTGGCCAAATGGTGTGGGCCAAGCTGGACGTCACAGAGAGTGGACATCACACCCTGGTTTCCAGCAGAATGTTCCCTTACTAACTCACGACGTGGAATGAGTTACTACAGGACTGCGCCCTTCCTGATTTGCAGCCATCTGGTGACGGGTCTGTCATTTGTAAATAACAACATTACCTGAGTTCTTTTCTCTTGGGGATGCAGCGTTAGCACATATTCTATTTGACTGAGTGCAGAATTAATAGGTGCTTCAACATGTAATTTCCATTTAATGAGTATATAAAAATTTCAGTCACTGTCGGATTTATGGGGAGAATTACAAAATGACATGGGCTAGGCAACTGGTCACCTTTGGGATTGTTTTCACGCAGGTTACTAGAAACTAAAGATTAGCTTTGTAGTTCCTTGCATGGTGATGACTATGTAGTCTATCTTTTGGGATTCTGGGGAAATAAATATAACTAGCTACTTAATTGACTGTGGTGGCCGGTACCGCAGCTGTTAAGACCTGGTTGCCCGGAATCTTGAAGTACACAGTTGCATCTGTAGTGGCACATCCCCACCAGCAGAGGGCAGAACGTACTCATTCCGTGTGGGGAGGCGCGGCAGTCTAAGGCTTCTAGGGTTAGGATGCTCAGGTTCTGAGGCAAATTCTACAATCACATGCCTTCTGATTTAATTTTCATGTCAAAACTTAAAAATAATAAGAGGTTAAACTTCACGAGTTTGTATTATAGATCGTCTGCACATAATAATACCTAAAAGTAGCTCTTTATTTCTGGTCAGGCTAAGGATTTCCATTGCAGACGAAGAGACCACTCATAGCATTTATTAATCTTAAAATTGTAAGAGAAAATCGCCGAACTGTTTTTATGCTGGAAGTTCTATGGTTGGTGTCTAATTTTTCACATGCTAATCTTTTTTGAAGGTTGAATTTAATTCCCTTGAAACATGGAACCTTAGCTTGAAGGGATCAGCACTTGGTAGCTGTACGTTTGAACAATTTATAGCGGTTACATATCCACAGTAAACTTTGAAGCACTTTTTCAGTCACAGAAAGGTAAAAAACAAAACAAAACTAACAACTAATTGCATCATGCTTAAATCATATTCATCCCAGGGCACTCACAATTAAGTTTCTTCATCCTTTTCTGGATTTCATTCTGCAGTAAACAAATGACCTCAGTTAATGCGAATGCCTCCACCTTCACCACACAAGTAGTCATTTGTATAGAAACTTTATGTTGCGATGTAGGAATACTGTGCCAAAGAGAAAGAGACATGGTTTTAGCCCTGTTAGTTCTATGGGTTATTGCATGAGTGTGAATGTGTCACTCTCTGTCTGTGGATTTTCTGTACCCAAATGCCCATCAGCTGACAAATGATAAAAAAAAAAAAAAAAAAAAAAAAAGATGCGGTCTGTTTTACACACCGGAGTACTACTCAGCCATAAAGAAGGATAAACTTGAGACATTTATAGGTGAATGGATGTAACTTGAGCCCATACTCTTAAATGAAATGAAGCAGACTCACATGTGCCAACATCATACAGGTCATCTGGTGTGAGAGACAGGAACAGTAAATAAAGACCAAAATGTACAGTAGTTATTGTGAAATAGAAATTTTTCAAAAGGAAAGAGGAACTAGGGTGGGGGAGGGGAAAATGAAGGAAGGGTGTAAGGAAAAATAAACCAAAACACAAAACAAAATGTTGACATACTACTAGTTTCTAAGGAAGGTTTGTACTAATATTGTTTGGAGACTATTTTATGCCCATTTTGTACTCTGAGTAACTACTTTGAAAATAACAATACGCAGTGTATTAATTACTATTATTATATTATTTGATTACTAAATTTTTTTTTCATAAAATAAAAACAATTAAAAGATGCCAGGCTGTCTAAGGTCCTTTCTGGCTGTCATACGCATGCCTCTCAGAATCTGGATCCATAAAGTTGAGAAGGACATCAGATGTCACCTTGCCATTCTGCCTACTAAATGAAATCTTTGCTTCTATTTGTTTCTCTGTGTCTGACATTCTGTGAAGTAAACTGAGCAACATATAGCCTTTCTTAGCCCCTACAGGATGCAGTTTTAATGCTCTTGGGTTGAATGCAGAAGTAGTCTCCTGCTTAAGACAGGTTTTTTCCTATCTTAAAAATAAAGATACCCTTTAGAATACAAAAACCAAAGCAGTTGTACATAATGTTTCTCCTCTGACACTATCTCTAAATAAGTCTTCTTCTTGGGAAAACCCTTAGTCACTTATAAATCAGTTTGACTCAAGTAGCCAAAAGGACAAAACAAGAAAGAGAAAGACAAAACGATAAAGAAAAACCTGAAAAGAACGACAGAGGATTATAGACTTCCTGTGCAACTCAGGATGAAGTAGGAGTCTGGGGAACTCATGAGTTTGGGGAGAAGAGTAAACAATGGTACCTTGACTATCTGCGCTTGTAACTCATGTTTCCAGCCCCGGTTTCATTATGTTTTGGATGTAAAAGCCTCGTGGTTTATTACAATACTTATACACCTGTTTCTGTTTCTTTCACTGGGGTTTCTTACACTTGCCTGTCTCTGATGTTAGTTTTAAAAGGCCCCGTTTTTCTGCCTTTGTGTGATCCAGAAATGTAAATTAGCCTTTGAGTGACCTTATTTCCTTAAGTATTGCATTTTTATAATCTGTAAAACCTATCTTGACAATGATGGTCAGAAACTTTGTGTCAGTTAGCTTTGTCTGAAAGAGCTCGACTGGCCAAAAGGAATGAATGCTTGAAGTCATTTTGATATACTGTATCTACTTCATTGACATTTATGCAATATAATCTTAGTTTACTATTTGTAACATTTTGTCTTTCTGAATCTTTGCAATAAAAATACAAAATGAGTAAGCAATCCACTTATTCAAATAGTACTTGCAATAAAATAGAGATTAAAAACTGTGAGTTTGGAATTAAATGAATGTATCTATAGCGCTAATGCTGTATAGGGAATAGCCAGCTCTATTGATTATGAAGTTTGCATAAAAGAGGTGAGAAACCAGAAAATACTTCTAGGGACTCTTGAGGAATGTGAGCCAGGTAGCCTTCATCCAGGGACGTGAGACCATCTGAGCTTAAATCTGATTGCAAGGTTCACACAGATGGCAAAAGAGCCCTTTGAGGGTGACGCTGTGAACGACGTGTGGTAGATACAATAAGAAAGAGGGCCTGGTGAGACAACAGACATGAACTGCAAGTGATTTTGAGATTATACTAAAAATTCTTAATTTAGAGGGGAAATTTCTTGAGTTAGGTGAAAGAATATCTAATTGACAAATGCGTTAGCTATATACAATAGAAGTTGTAATTTAAATTAGATTAGCCAATTGGAAATTGTATTGGTTCCTGTAGACCTAAACCCAGAAGTAAAATGAGCCAGGATTTGTTCTTCTGCATTTCTCCTGGTTTTGGCCCCTTGGGCATGAAGGAATAATGCAACAGAGATGCAGCCTTACACATGAGGCAAAGCGTGGAGGCAGAGAGGATTGCTTACAGAACCCTCATAAAAGAATTTCTCTGTAAAAGAAACAACTCTCCCACCAATCCTTGTTTCTCGAGGTTTTACGATGCTCATGTCAAAAGCACTTTATTTCATTAGCGATATAGGTGCCAGATTGTATCCTCAAAACTGGTGAATAATTAAGGTCATTTAAGTACAAAGTGTGTATAAATAAAGAGGAATATACACACAAAATCTAATTCATAAAAGAGGAAGCAATTGGAGGGAAATAGCTATGAGAGTAAAAAACAATGGACTATCTGTATCCATTTGTGTATTTTTATTGCCACTTAAACAATTGAAAATGTAGGTGACTGTATGTTCTTGTGTATTCATAGCCACGCCCAGAATATCAAGAGCTCTTAGAGTTGCCTTCTCAGGTCCGTTTCCCTAATGCAGCATACGGCCATGTGACTTCTGTGAAGACAAGTGGTCCTTACAGGACCGGACAGAAAGAGTTAAGCATTGTCATAAGAAATAAATCTTAGAAATTACATTATGTTTATTGTACTAGAATCCACATTTAATTTCCTTCACACCTAAAATATTTGTTTCATCCTGCTAGCTATTCACATCGGTTAAAATCATGGTTTGAAATTTCTGTGTTGGTCTACATGAATCTGGGAAGGAAGCTAGAAAAATTATTTTCACAATGTTCTCATCAAAAACAGCTGGCCTCACACTTTTTTCTTGGCTCAGGCTCCATACTAGTTTAATCAGAATGAAGTGTCCTGCTAAAGCTGAACTGGCTGTTGATAGAAAATTAAAGCATAGCTGATCTGTCTAGGCTTTGGTTTGGTTTGGCAGAATTTCTCAGGAACTCAACTCTGTATTGTCGGAAAAGTATCAGGAAGTTTTATTCTACACCTCAACATTTCATTTTTGGATAAAAAATAGATTTGGAATTCCTAATGTACATCACAAAAACTCATTAATTAAATGAGTTTTTTTTAGAAAGAAAAACATTAGCTTAGCTTTAACTCAAGAAGAGAGAAAGCACAAGAAAGCAGAAGAAAAAGAGGTGAATATTTCATGCATCTTCTATGAGACATGAAAACTATTTTATTATCGATGAATTTCTTCCCAATTACCATTCTTCTAGGTGGTAGAATACAGAGTCAGGCTAGATGACAGCCGAAGTTGATGTGATAAGTTAACTCTGTAGGCAAGGTCAGTAGCTCTTAACACACCCATCTGCGGAAGTTACCTCCACGTATTCATCTGTAGCAAAAAGATCGGCAGCTCCCAGATGAAAAATGTGTCAGGCAGTGCAGTCTGCATCTAGAGCTCAAGAATCTGAAGCCTCTGGATCCATAGTCCAAGGAGTAGCATCCTACAGATCCAGGAAAGGACATTGCTAGACTTAAACCACAGAGATTCAGCACAAATCATTTACCATGGGCTGTAGAGCCTTGGGCAGGGGAAAAATATTTAGCAAAGGCTTGATGTCGCACAGGCTGTCTAGTACACAGTGACCCTAAAATATGCATAATTATTTATCAATTAAAAATAAATCAAATAAAAATCAAGATAGCCTATGAGACTTGGGATCTTAATCTCTTACCCAAGTCTCATGGTTTTCTTTATTACAAATACTTCCAAAGTAAATCATATTATATATTAATCAGTAAGATGCAGACATTGGACCATTTTTTAACCAATAAATATTGGGTGACAGCAAATAAAACTACTTAAAATTTATGTAAGATTATTTGAATGTATTTCATTTTTTATGAGTAGTGATATAAATGTGATTTTTGAGTTCTCTGCATTTTTAATATAATTATCAACTAGTCAGCTACATTGGAAATGTTTGCATAGAGTTGAGGAACAATATTTTATGAGGAAGAGTTAAATTGCTGATTCTGAGATCTAATTAGAAGTCTGTGTATTCAAACAATGTAATTTTCCTGTCTCTATTTTCAGAAAGAAAATTATTTGATGTATCTGAAAATTTATGCAAATCATGATTTTCATAGAATTTCATGATCTATTTGTATGTTTATTAATTAACAATTCTTTTAATAGTCAATAACCAAACTCTAGAAAATACTTGATATATGAAAGCAAACATACTTTGATATCAAGACAATATATTAGATTAAAATGTTTTTATAGAATTTCAAAAGAAAAGTCAACAAAATAGATTCCATCTCCAATGAAGTCTCAAGTTTTATTTTGAATTAATATCGTAATTACAGGTTTTAAATGAACTTGTTTGGCCAATATTTGGAATCAGACACAAGATGAGAAGTTGAAAATTAAAGAACCATTAGGTGGCAATTCATAATGTAGGTACTGAAGACAAAAAGAATAGAATCAAAGGCACTGATGACATTAGTCAACAAGCTTACAAATTTACTAAAGTGTTCAAAAGAAGCGAGATCCAAAGCCACAGGTAGGTCTGTAACAAGAAGACTGGAAGGTTCTAGAAGATAAGTAAGATGGGTGACAGAACCCAGATCCATAACCAAAGGAAGGGAAGGCACGGACTCCGTAACTCAGGGGTCTGAAGCCACTGAAGCCACAGCCTGAGGAGTAGCAGCTCCTCGACCCATACCCCATGGAGTGGCAGCTGCTGGACCCAAAGCCCAGAGATCCAGAGTAAGTCCCCTGGCAGGGACTGCAGAACGCAGAGGGCCTGGGGCGGTAGCAGGACGTCTGGCAGGGCCTGGACAGCACACAGGACCTCTGGCAGCTGGTGGGCTCACAGAAGGTCTCCTGACAGCCACTGTAGAGCGAGGAGCCCAGCTGGTAGTTGGTGGAAGACTGGAGATCAGCACCGCAGACCAGGTTGCTGGGGTAGGAAGAGCCACAGGAGGAGGCTGGGAGTTGCAGGTAGCCCCCACAGGAGCGGGAGGAGAAGTTTCCAGAGGAGCAGCCGTAGGACATGTTGGCAGGTGTGAGTTCAGCTCAGTTGCAGTGAAAAGATGTTCTCATGCCCCTGCCTGCTGCCAGTGATATTTATACGCCTTTCCTCCGCTGGATGTGATGCTGTACCCGAGAGCCTGCCCATTGTTGTGGGTATTTCATGAAATGACTAATTAATCTAGACTATAATTATAAATGAGTGCATTCCTGTGTCACTAACTGCAGTTTAAGCACAGTGATTTAGAGAAGCCACTCTGCTTCTCTTCTTTTCGCAGGTGCGAGGCGTGGTCTGCTTTTTAAAACATTGCTCATGATGCGCAGAGTGGCCCCTTTCTTCAGGGAGTTTGGGTGCTTTGAGGGTGAGTGTCTGTAATTTCCCCAGTAATATACTCCTAATAGTCATCAGGACCTACCCTTGTAATTATTTACATATGATTTATTGTGTTTTTACTATGTGCAAAAGATTTAAAAGTGTGGTATGATTTAACCTTTGAAGAAAACTTGTAAAATTTGTCAGACTTGTTGTGAGATAATTTAGGAATGAGGTTATGGAGACTAAGGGATGTCAGCACCATAACTGATCAAGCAATGTCGTTTACCCAGGGTCATCACCTACATATTTATCCCCAAAGCTGCTAAGGGGAACTACAATCCTTCGTTGATTATTTTAGAAGCCCATCCATTTTATTTGTACTATGTTAATGAAGAATAAAATGAACCTAATCTAGAGCAAAAACATTAGGCTTTGCACTGATTAAGATAGTAATCCGGGAAATACAGATTGAATCAGTTTTGAAAATGTGTTCTGAGCTTTTACAAAATGGTTGGTAAATTTATAGCTTCTAATAGCAAGGAGTTGTGAGGAAATTTTATCACTCTTTTGGTGCCAGCAAAGTAAATTTTTCTATAAGAAGAGGACTGAATGCAGTCAGAGTCATGGTAGTTGGGTGCAGGTCAGAAGAGGTTCATAGTGTTTCAGGAAACTGCCCAGCCCATGGGTTTGGCTCAATCCTAAATGCAACACATTTCCAAGTGCATAAGTGGAGATCGCCCATTTTATTGGCTCTGCCGTGGCCTGAGAGCAGATGAAAGATGATCTCCTAAATGTCAGAGTTATCTTGCACTATAGAGAAGTGAAAAAGTAAGAAAAACAAAAAGCACATTTATTGAGGACATGGAAAGGACACACGACCCATGGTTGTTGGGCTGTCTTCTTGGACCAGATACAGAGAGGTAGAGGATTACATGATCTCTGATCGGAAGTGGCGCATGGGGCCATTTTGATGATGTGTGAGAACTGATTGGAATGTACTTTGCACACAAACAAGAAAGGGAGTTGCAGTTAGGGCTGGAGAACAAGGAGGAAGTGGTAAGCATTTCCACTTTGGCCTTCGGCCATGTTAGGCCAACACCATAATTGTACAGTAATTTACAGATGGGCAAGAACCTTTCACTAAACTCTTCTTAAACTCTCTGAACCAATGGTGTTTCTTTTTGCCTTTCTTTTCTTGGTCATACGTGAAAAATTAAATATTTAAGTGAAACATAATATTTCAGACTCTAATATTTGTCCTTTGTCTGAGATTTCTACCTGGATATTTCTAACTTTTTGTGAAATCCATAAACACCGCCACTGAAGCCACAGCTTCTTCATCTTTTTTTGGTTATTATTTTTTAGTATTCAGTTACTATGGTGATGCTTGTTACAATCTGCCTTCTATTTACCTTGTCACTTAGCTTATCATACTCAAACAACTCATGTTTTATCTACCATGGAGTTATTAAGATTCTTTTTCTGTGTGAGGCAGAAAATTCTTTGGCAAACACCCCTGACTATCACTGGGAATAATAGCTGGAAACTGGTATGCCTTTAGTGAGTTGACTACCAATGAAACACATTAGCGAAAACTTGAATTTTAATAGCATGCTAACCTTTGCCAACTCAGTTGGGAATGAGAAATTTGACACCTTACAGAGTGATTCATTTCACTCCCTGCTGAGCTTCTCTTTCTGCTCATCTTTCCAGGAAGACAAAGAAGCCTAAAATTTACTTTTTTATGAAGCAGTTAAAATTATCCTCATCAGTATTAAAAAAAATCTATGGTATAAAAAAAACCTTGGAATTAAAAGTCTTTTTCTCCACCTATTATTAGGTCTAACTTTTACTCTAAAGTATCTTTTAAAAACTGAAAAGCAAAAAAGCTATGCAATTTGATCTTTTCTGTTTCTTAGACGATTGTTACTCTTTTTAATCTCCTGCAGTATTTATCTGCCAATAGAATATTCTCGTTATTGTTCTGCTAATAAATCTCCAGTGAATGCATTGCTCAGTCTCCTCACTCCCACACTGTAGGGTTCTCATTCCTTAAAGCCCATACCAAACATCTCATGTTTGACAGGTGTTCCTCTCCACTGGGCTTTAACTTTGTAGGGATCCGAATCTCGGTATTTTATAGGATCGTGCATTTGGGTAAGTACCTGAGTAGGCACATACATCTCTACACAGCACACCACCCCCACACACCCTGGTGGAACTGCAAGTGACGTCTTTTAAAAAGATTCATTTTCAATCAGTAGGATTTCAGCTTGCAGAGCAGTCACACATGGGAACAGTGCAGTACACAGAACCTCAGGGGCCTAGTAAGCCTGTTTAATCTTTTGTGGTGGTTAGGGTGCAGCAAACTTGATTGGCTTTGGCATCCACGCTGAGGACTAGGGGAGCACGCTTCTAGGTATGGGACGTGGCGGTCATAGAAGTGTGGCTTCAGGGTCTTTTTCTGGGCCTGCACTCCTCCCTCTCTGCCCCTGCTCCTCTGCTTGGCTTTCAGGCCTCCCTGCACTGAGCACTTCCCTCCCACACGCCCTTCCACCCTAGCGTTTCAGCTTTGGAACCAACTGATCCTGGACAGAATCCTCTGAAACTACCAGTGAATTAAACTTCTCTTCCTTAAAGCAGCGGGCCTAATACAGTCTTTCTATTTGATCAGCACCTGGTGTATCTTGAGTGCTTTACCACTACTTATGAATGAAGAAAATATAGATCAAATCATTGACTTTGTATTTCGGTTTTCTCTAGAAAAAATATAAGCATATAACTGTATTCTTATAAAGTGATTTTTAATGAAGTGGTAAGTAATCTTGTAATTAAACAAAATCCCTAAATTAACCATCACCAGTAGTGAAAAAGTTAAGCTGGTGAACCACCTTCACTATAGACATAACGATAGACATTACAATTTTATGCTTAATCTTTTATGAACAAATTTTAGTCTTTGTGTGTGAATATGTACTTGCTGCTTTTCTTTCTATTACACAAAGCAGCAAGATTAGGGAAACCATAATTCAAAAGAGGTCAGTTAGCTTGGCTGGAAATCTGGGTACAACATTTCATCACAAATATCTTAATCAGGCTTCTTTCCATCAAGCTACAGATGCTAACGTCATGCACACCAGTCAGGCACCTCCCTGAATTCACACGCACCATCGCGACCAGTTGTGTAACTATTTCCTGAAGTCATGAGGTGTCAGTGTCCTAATTGTTTTTCTCCTCTCCTATAGAAACATCCATGTTGTTATGTTACTTAAGAGATCTCCAACAGTTTTCTAGAGCTACTTTAGTCTCAGATATTTTATAATTCCTCAAACTTCATATCCTTCTTTTTAGAAAACATAAGTTATTATCATTTTGGAAAAAATAAACATTTCTATATATTGTTTTTAGAATACTGAAAGCTATTCTAAAAAAGGATATGGCTGTAATTTTAACAAAATTAAATTTTTTCACGTTTCATTTAAATCAATAAAACCGTTTATAGAATCTGATAAATATGGAAAGTGATTTCTTCATTATTAAATTAGGAAACACCTACTTGAGAATGTTAACATGCATAAATATATTTACAATAGATATGCACAAACTGAAAAAGCTCAAACATGTTTGCATATTAAGAAATTTGGCTAAAATATCTTGCACCACTTTATACTACCTTATTAAAATCCTATTAGTCTGAAAGTACTTCCCCTGATTTCAAAATAATGCTTCAATACTTGTTTATTGCATGGCTGAAAGATATATAATTATAGAATAGCAGTTTTTCATATGTCTTGGAGTCAGAAAGCTGCGCAATCTGGAGTAGAATGGAGAACTCTTGCTTTCTAATCCAAATCTGTCTTCTACAAGAACTGTAAGTGAAATTTTATATTCTCTGCTTTTTGTTTCCATAAACGTGGCCCTCTGCCATATTCTTACAAGACTACAAGTGCACAATCTTTTCAGTGACTTTGCCTGATTCGTTATTTTTAATCTCACTCATAGAAGCATGGTCATTAAAAAGAAAAAGACACAATTGTCTTAGTCACTTTCCTTTTTGTTGAAATAAAATCCCCAAAGGTTACAGCTTACAGGAGAAGAGGTTTATTTGAACACGTGGTTTAGTCAGGTCAGCCAGCTCCAAGGCCAAACAGTATAGCAGAAGGACATAGTGGGATTAAAACCTGCTTACCTAACGGCAGCCTGGAGACAGAAAGCAAGGCAGGACCCGGGGACATGGATACACACTTCCGGGTCATATGCCCAGTGACCTGTTCCAACCAGACCCTGTCTGTGGGCAGGAAGGTAGCCATAACTGGTCCAGTGATTCATCACTTGTCAGGAGCCCCCATCTACGATGGCATGAGACCTCCGGGGAGGTGCTGGATCCAAATCATAACAACCTCTCACCATTTCTGTGCTTGACCTGATTGACCTTCATTATGCAGCCTTCATCTCCATCCTGGCAAAATGTCCTCAGCCTCTTTATTTTTTGTCTTATCAATTGCTTCGTTATTCACGCTAATGGTTCTTTTCTCTCAGACTTACACATATTATTCAACATTTTCAGTCCGAACACTTTAGGAAGTGCCATTTCTTCTCCACAATTATATAGTGTTGCTTATATTTAAAGTCAAATTCTCTACTGGGTTGTTTTATTTGACTGTTATCACATTTTGCATTCTCTTAAATAACCCCCTCATTTCTGTCTCCCATTCTTCTAAAACAGTCAGGAGTAGCTCAGATACT